AATTGCTGCTCTAAGTCATACTCTGGGCTGACAACTAAACAGAGGTCTGTGACAGCAACACCAGCTCGAGGCACCTTGTTCTCTTGTTCATGAAGCAAGGATCAGGAAGGAGATCAAGACATGCTCCTGAGGAAAGCCTAAAACTTCAGAGGTCCAATCACACCAAAGGTTCAGGCCTGGAGCACAGCAGAGTCCAGACGACACAGGACAACTTGGCTCCTTTTCTGTGTACTGGCGAATACTATTTAGGCAGTCCATTCCCCTGCTGCATGTAATTTTAAAGGAGAAATCCTCATGTAATTGTCATGTGCCTTCACTTTCCTTCCTAAAAAGTAGCCTTCTAGAACAGTGGTAGTTAATGGGAATACCATCCCCACAGAACTCTGCCAGTTACCTCTTGGTCTGCTTTCATCTCTCTCCAACCCATTATGCTCTTGTCATTCCTGTGATAGCTATGCTGATCCATCTCCCTTATGAAAGATCTTCCTACCATCCAAGGAAATCTCTCTGCCACCATGGCACTCACTCCTCATTTCTCAGCTCCAATGCCACCTGCTCAGGAAGCCTTGGTTCTCCCACATGTGACCCTCTTTAGCCTGAGCTCTTCTAGCGCTTCTACTGTCTTGGAGGTTATCTGTCACAACTGGCAATCATGTGATTGTGCACTTATTGGGTCTAATGGAGTGGGAATCCTGAAGGAGGCCCTGTGACCTTGTGCTCACACTCACTAGTGTATGTCTGGCCCTCAGTCCTATGCCAGGACAGATTCTTATGCACATGAGTGGAATGAGTGAATGGACTGAATGCCTGGATTACTGATTGTAGGGTACTAGTGAACAGGATTTGGCTGTTGAACAAGGATGGATGATGACACAGTTGGCTTTCTTTGAATTCTCTGTTCCATGCTCCAGCTCAGTGAGTCCTGAGTGCCATGTTAGTGGCCCAGTTTGGTCTGATGCACCATCACCCCCAGTGCAAGAGGGAGATTAGGGAGGTGCCATGCATGATCTTATATAGGAGACTCCAAACAGGACACAGCTGATGAACTATCAACCAAAGTGCAAGTTAAACAATCACAACAAAACCATCTTTCTTAATCATCACGATCTAGCACCACTATTTACTACGATTCTTTCCTGTGAAGACAGTCCTGGCAGCTTCACAGACTTTCTCACCTCATCATGTTTGTTCCTCACTCTCCCACTGCAAATGAGTAGACAGTAATAGATGAGACTGTGGCGTCTGGAAGGCAGAGAAGAACGGCACACTGAGGTGGGGCCCATGACTGTCACATTGGCAGCTGTTTGGAGATGCACATATGGGTGATGTTTCAAAAGACAGCAAGCTCTTCAGATGATGTGCCCCTCAGGAGCCCTCCATGCCAAACTGTAAAGGGAGCACTGTACTCTTTGGCCAGGAGTTCTTCCCTAAAGCAAAATAAAACTCTACATGTGGGTTCACCTCAGACTAGTATCATAAGGCATAGACAACATTTTTAAAATCTAAATATCACTTTCTTCCTCCATCTGTAAAGGATAAGTAGCCAGGATGTGAATTATTTTGCCATTGAGGACTTGTACCCTCTATGGTTTAACATTTTATGTTCATTGAAAGCAATTTTGAAAACACACACCCAAGTTTGTTAAAGACTGCACACCACCCCTCTTCTTTTCCATGGTTCCTAGTTCTTAGGAAAAGAGCTGATTGGAATTTAGACATCAACCCAAGTGCAAATTAAACAACAACAGATAGAATTTCACGAACTGTTATTATTCACTGTGATCCTTTTCTCTGAAGAGAGTCCTGGCACCTCTGAATGAGCAGCTGCACGCTTCCCTTCTTCCCTCCCCCTTCTTCCTTCCTCCCTACCTGCCACAAGACTGAGAAGGAAGGGTGGCTCCTCAGGGCTAGCAAGCCCGCAGGCAGTTCTTTCCTGAGGTGTTCTTAGGCATAGCTATAAGTGCTACTGGAAAGACACAAACCCTTCTGCAAATGTCAGTGGCATATGGATTTATGACACTTCCAGGAAAGTTCCTGCTTTCAACCACTCGAGGTGGCTTAATTGCACGCTTTATGTTTACTGGAGAAAGGCTTCTTTCTTTCCGGTGACCTGCCTTCATGTAACCAGTTACGTACAGCAGCTCTGTGAGGCCTTCTGCATTTTCTGACACATTTCCCACTTTGTACTTAGTGTACTAGCCTACTTCAATGCTCGGAGAGAGTGTGCTGGTCCATCTCTTTGCAAACACGTGCTCTCATCTGACTGGGGAAGATCCTGCCTGTCCAGCAGTGGGGAAGTTACATGCTGAGATCAGGCTTTGACCTGTTCCAAGTTACTTCATAACACATGAAACAATGTTCTTTTCAGGATGTGCTTTGCCCTAGAAGACTCCATTTTTACAAGCAGCTTTTGATTGTATTTTGAGGGAGGATGACTACAGCTCCCAGGTGGACTCACAAACACTGCCGCCATGTTTCAGGCACCACCTGTCCAGCACAGACAGATAAATGACTTATGCCTGGAAAGAGAAAGGGAGCCACCCTATAAGTTTACTGGGACAAACAGACTGTAGACACACAGAGGTGCATTCAAATTGTATCAGGGAAACCAGACCCACAAATGTATGAGGCACACAAGACCAAGGAAAGGGTGTAACTAATTCCCTCACCCATATCCCGCAGAGTGATAGACACCTAACACTGTGATGCCATGGCCCTACATTTAACTAGCTGGTATGTACATCATAGATCAAAAAGCAGAGGACGCCCCGACTATGCGTGGAGCTCAGCTCGGCTTGGCCCCCTGTTGATGTGACTTACTTGAGTGCTTGCCCATCTACGTGCTTGCCTGTCTACCTGTTCCTGACCCACTTCCTACTCCAGACCCAGTTTGGTTTTTCACCTTGAACTGAACTCTGAAGCTTTGGTCTCAAACCCTAATTCTAGCAACTTCATCTTGGCAGGACTCTGGTTTGTTATCTTATCAATATAGACTCTATCTTAGGTCACTTCTGAAACCTCCTGAACTCTGTTGCTGCCTCTTTAAACTTGTATTCATTCTGTAAACCATATATATGCATATAGTTATATGGCTACATTTACCATGTGCTGTGTGATATGAGGGTTAATATTTGTAACTTGAGTAGGCTACCAAGGTAGGTGGGATTATAAAACAAACTGCTGTCACAGACACGCTAAAGCATGTAAATTTATTGTTAAACAATAAATTCTCATGTTGTGGAGAGACACAAACATATTTGTCTATGTTTCTAGTATAGTTCACTCTTGACAGTGCAAAACTCACAAAACATCCTGCAAAGTTAAACCCAGAATACTAACTAGCACACCCTAGCTCTGAGGCTGGGAATGAGAGCTACAGAGCAGCTCCTTGGGGGTGAGCATCCCCTCTGAGTTCATCTCAGCATCCCCTCTGAGTGTTAGCTTCTGCTCAGATGGTGAATATGCTGTCTAGAGTGCTCTGTGGGTAGATCAGAAGCCAAACTGAGCAGAACTAGCTCTTATCTACATAAAAATGTAAATTTCTTCCTAAGATGTAAATCTGCCTGCAAATTTAAATATGAAATGACCCTGGGACCAAGTATTTTGTTCATATATCATAAAGCGTCTCTGCATTATGGACCAGAGAATCTTGTAGGCTGTCAATCACTGGTGAACCAGCATGACTTGGGCATGCCTTATTACCTGCCTAAATTAATCACAGGATTGAATTTGAAACCAATTCAGAAATATCAAAGTCTGTGTGGAAACCAGACTTAAGGTTACTATACTGTGATTTTAAGCAAGATTTGTCAATGTTTATTTTGTAAGCAAGATTTAGGAATGCATGCTGTCTACTTAAAAAACAATGAATTCTGCTGTCCCTTAGATTTGCCCAAATGACTACACAAGTACAGGAAAGATGCTTGTCAACTGAGTGGCCAAAGTGGCCAATTTGGTATTTTGTTCAGACATCTGAAAGGAGTGAGGCAGTACACACTTGATAATTTTCCTTTGTTCCTTTACATTAGTCCAAATTGATGAAAATTTCCTTTGCTCATCCTAGCTCTGTCATGGGTCTTATCGTTATCACAGAAAGGAATTCCATGATGTGCTTGGATGTGATCTTCATCTGCTTTTCAACTTTCTATCAGGTTTTATTCAGATTCAGCTGCCTCTACATCAGCTTGATGTACATTCGACACATGTAGCTTCCCCCACCTCGCCCCCACCCCCAAATGTAATTGGGCTGACTGGAACCATTTATTCCACTGCTGTAACCATGGGTCCAAATGGAGTCATCCCAGGCAACAGCTTTGCTTTCAGATGGGGAGAGGGAGGCCTGGAACGGCAGAGTGAGTCCTTCTGATTGCTACACCTCTCACAAACACGCATCTGCTATTTTTGTCATAATTTTAACAAAACCTTTGCTATGAGTCCAGATTCCGATATGGATCCTAAAGTCAAGAGACAGATTATCTGGTCAGTTGAAAAAAAACTTACTCAGTAAATAAGGGGATAGTCTTTAGCACCTGGACTTCTTTTAGAGAAATGGCCTGTGGTTAATGATCATCTCCAAGCTTTTATCCTTTAATCTTTCATTTTAAATTCTCGGTAGTAATTGCTCCTGAACCCATGCCTGTAATCAGAACTGGAGACTGAAGCAAGGCCTTCTAGCAATTAAACAAAAAGTTCTTGTTTTAGTTCTATGCTAAGCTTTGGTATTTAATTAGTAGAATAACAGTTTCACCCTTACAGGGATAACTGTATCTTTAAACACATTTTTGAGTTGGAGAGTTCTATTGTGTAGACACGTTTTAGAAGACCGAATGCAAACACGCTGTTAGCCATTCATTTGTGACTTCAAATTACTTTAACTGCACTTTCTACAAAATAAGTGCTAAATTATACATTATGTATCTTTCCAAGCATACTGGATCAATTTTTAAACAGACCAGTAGGAATGATCATATTATAAACTTAAAATAAACTGAGCTACAGGGTAGAGTCCATATCTTCATTTAATATTGATAGCAGCTTAATTTAAAATTTGAAAAGCAAACACCTTTAATAAAACTGGTGTGAATGATTAGACAGCTCAATATACTACTGTACAGGAGTGTATACATATATAAATCTATATGCAGAATTATATACATTTTGATATATACCACATTTTTCTACTCACAATTTTCTCTTTTGAAAAAACAAAGCAGTTTCACTGCACATAAATGTGCAATGCTACATTATGTCCTGAGTATTTTAGAGATTATGAACAAACTACTATGAATTCTAATGTTTTAGCTAAATATTCTCAAGACTTTGAACTAAAACATGAACAAAATGATAATTAAAGGATGAATCCAGCTTTGCGCTTGTTTTGTGCAGAAAAAGCTCAAAAATGCATAGTAGCCATTGAGATTTGGGAAAATGTCCTCAAATATTGTAGGTTAAACAACATCTTATCTGTATGGATTTATACAAGTTTTAAGTGCTATTGCCTATATCCAAGTTGTCAGGCATGGAAGACTCTAGTGATGATTGGACTAAAAATCCCTTTTGCAGAATTTGAAATTCTGTGTAAACATCAGTGTTTAGATATGATGTAGATGTTCTGATCCAAATGAAGAGAAAGAATTAGAATGAAATAACTTAAAACATATTTCTTGAGATATAGCCAATCACATGGAAGTGATATAAAAAACGAGCATATTTTGGTGAAAGAAGAAACCAGATGAAAGTCACTTAATGGTGGTCTGCTAAGCCACCCAGTCTGGGAGGTCCCAAGTTCACTTGGCTCTGGGAGTCCCAAGATAAGCAAGTCACATCCATCTTGCCACAGGGTATGGACTCTGCACAATGAGAAGGAAGCACTATGGGAAAAGGCCACATTCAACTGCAGTGGAGCAGTAACAACTGCATGTCAGGGTCACTGTTGGTAGGCAAAGCATTCCACTCCCAAACTCAGGCACTAAGTATGGCATGTGAGGTGGTCTGGGCTGGCTGCTCCATGTTGCCCCAGCAAGAGGCAGGCTGGGATCCTGGTGCAGGTGACCACCCTGCATCGGAGCCACTTTGATGAGAAGGCACTGTGTTGGTGGTTCCTCTGTTACCTCAGCTCTACCCAGTACCGTGGCTGCTGTAGTCAAAGACTCCTTTCTTGAAGAATGGCGAAAATTCACAAATGGTGTGTTTCGAAAGGGTCAGACCCACTTTGTCGATATGAAGGGGAGATGTTGCAGACTGGAGCATCACACTGAAAAAGTCCCTGAGGTATTTCTGAGAAAGAGACAAGAGTAAACAATATGGTCAAGACAGTGATGAGTGATCAAGCAGAGGAGAGAAAACATCCAATTACCATCTACCTGGATATATACATTTATTTAATAAACAAAACCAAGGAGAGAATGCTCCAAAGAACACCAACACCCAAGGAAGGTCCTTGACCACCTCAGCAATTGTCAGGCCAAGCAGAGAAGATGGAGTCAACATATTCAGGTCCACAGCAGGAAATTGCTTTGGGTCAGGGCTCTGGGCACAGCAGTGGCACCTGACATCCATCTCTAGACAAGGTTCTGAGGAATGCTGCCCAAATGTAGCAACTGTGTCACTAGTCAGTCACCCGATTTAAAAATGTCATTTCTCCCTCGAGTTTTCCATTAAAATGGGAGGGGCTGCCCACTTGTGCAATGTCAAATGTGACATACATTGGCATCTTGAAATTGTTCAATCAGTTTCTGCTTTGAATCCTATGTATAATGTAGGATCAGCTACAAGTACTAATATATACAGATCATTTTTAAAAATTCTATAATCATCATCAAGACCAAAATATTCTTACTAAGGAGAGCTGCTCTGGGTCCTTGATTTGCCCTCTCCCACCACAGGTGCTGATTACATTATTTGTCTTTGATGGTACTGACTGAAAGGATGCCTGTGACTAGGCTCTCAGATGCAGTGAGTGAAACCAGATGTGGGTGCTTGAAGCATGTATTAGAGAAGAGGACGTACTAGAATAGTTCATGTATTTCAGGTCAGGTAAATGTCAATAATAGAAATTAAACCGTCTCAGTTCATTGAAAAGTATTAACAATCCTGGCACAAACTTAGAAATTAAGAATTATAATTCTGAACTGTAACAAAACTATCATCTAAGAAAGATAGCCTAATCCTAAAGCACTGGCTCCCAACCAAGGGTAGTGGCTCCACAGGCCATTAGCCAATGCCTAGAGTCCTGTGATTGTCACCCATATGTGTTGGAGGATATATCCAGGGGGCGGAGGCTGGAGATGCTGAGAAGCCCCTAGGACAAAGAATTGTTTGGCCCCAAATATCACCAATGTCACAGCTGAAACCTTGCCCTACAGGAGAACTCAGCTACCTTTATGAACTGCAAGCCTGAACTATGCTTTAGAAAGAAGTCACTCCGCTCAAGGGAAGTTTATTAGCTTATTTTAATTAATTAATTAATTAACTCTTTAATTTTTGGTCTTTTGAGACAGGGCCTCCTTGTAGTCCCAGCTTATCTGGAACTAGGCACATTCTTTTTTAAACTTTGCAGAGCTGGCATGCCAGGCATGCACTCACTCCTCTCCAGACCTTAGGCTGCACATTCTCTAACTGTAGCTGATCAATGATGACACATGTGAAACTGCCACAAACCAAGATCACAAACATTTTCATCACTCTAGAAGTTTCCTAAGTCACCTGATTTGACTTGGTGATCATACTCTGGCTAGAATTACACTTTTTTCTTGTAATAGCCATTTTCTAGTGAGGAAGCTGCTTTCAGGGAGATGTGAGAGGTTGGTCATCAAGTGCAAAGACTCAAAAGCAGGTGTTTTTCACTTAGTTTTGGTTTCCTGGCTCAGTATTCCTAATGTACTGATCTCAGGGTAACCTCTCCAGAGAAGCCCCTGAGGCTGAAGTCAGGTGGAGGAGTGCCAAAAAGAACAAAGAACAGAACTGTAGCATGTTTTCACATTAGAGGGGCAACCCTCCTCCACTTCAATTTTCCAAGGTGAAGAGCCCCTGAGTATATCAATTCTAAAGGGACCTGTTGTCTCTCCAGAATGGCACCCAGCAAACAGAGACAGCACCTGAGCAGCCAAGGCTGTGATGAAAAGCAGGTGAACCCTTGATTGTTCATGTAGATCAGAAGTAAAATGCAGCAATAATTAACATCACAGAAGAAAACTGATGAAACAGAAATAAAAAATCATAAAGAATCAATGAAATAAGAAAATAAGAATTGGTTCTTTGAGGAGATAAACAACTTAGCCAAACTAAGCAAAAGAAAGACAGAGATGATCTGAAGCAATAAAATGAGGGGACCAGAGAGATGACTCAGTGGATACAGCCCTTACAGGGCAAGCATGTTGACCAGAGTCTGGAAACCCACCCATGTAAATGCCAGGTGGGCAGGGTGGCTTGTCTTAAGCACATAGGAGGCAGAGACAGGATTCCTGGAACAAGCTGGCTAGCTAGGAGAGCCAAATTGGTGAGCTCTGTGTTCAGTGAGAGGCCCTGCCTCAGTATATAAGGTGAAGAGCGAATGTAGAAGACACCAGATATCTAGTTTGGGCCTCCACATGCACTCATGTGTATGCACACTCACACATATACACGTGAACATGCCTACAGGATTGCGCACACACCCATACACATATATACAAGTTAAAAATAAAATCATACATGGAGACCGTCAGAGAGTGCCTGTTCCCACCTCCCTCAGGCATAGGGGCTAAGAACTCAGGGGACTGCCTGAGAGTGCCCGGATCCTGCCTCCACATGGTTGTGGGCTTCCCCTAAATGCGCCTTACCCAACCCCCTAACCTGATATTTGACAAAGGTGCCAAGAACACACAATGGAGGAAAGACAGCATCTTCAACAAATGGTGCTGGCAAAACTGGATCTCCACCTGTAAAAGAATGAAACTAGATCCTTATCTTTCACCTTGCACAAAAGTCAACTCCAAATGGATCAAAGACCTCAATGTGAAACTGGAAACCCTGAAACTAATAGAAGAAAATATTGGCAGTAACTTACAGGATATAGGTGTAGGAAAGGTTTCTCTAAACCAGACAGAAGTTTCTCAGGAATTAAGGTCAGCAATCAACAAGTGGGACATCATTAAACTAAAATGCTTCTGTACAGCAAAAGAAACAATCAAAAAAGTAAAGAGAAAACCTACAGAATCGGAAAAAAATCTTCACCAGTGACACATCTGACACAGTTTAACAACCAGAATATATAAAGAACTCAAAAAACAAAGAAGCAAGAAATCAAATGACCCAATTAAAAGATGGGCTAAAGATCTAAACAGAGAGTTCTCAAAGGAAGAAATAAAAATGGCTAGGAAACATCTTTAAAAGTATTCAACATAGTAATTAGGGAAATGCAAATTAAAACCACCTTAAGATTTGACCTTACCCCAGTCAGACTGGCTAATATCAAGAGAACAAATGATATCAAATGCTAGCTAGGATGTGGAGAAAGGGGAATGCTCATTCGCTGCTGGTGGGATTGCAAACCTGTGCAACTCCTATGGAAAACAGTGTGGAGAACTCTTACAAAACTAAAAATAAACCTACCAAATGACCCAGTTATACCACTTCTTGTCATACCCAAAGGACTCATCCTATTATAGAGACACTTGTACAACCATGCTTGTTGCTGCTCTTTTCACAATAGCTAAGAGATGGAAGTAACCTAAGTGTCCCTCAACTGATGAGTGGTTAACAAAAATGTGGTATATTTTCACAATGGAGTTCTATTCAGCAGTAAAGAAAGATGAAATAATGAAATTTGCAGGAAAATGGATAGATCTAGAATCTGTTATACTAAGTGAAGTAACACAGACTCAGAAAAACAAACGACATGTGTTCTCCCTCATTTGTGGATCCTAGCACAAAATCCTTTTAAATTCCATGTCCTTTGTACTGTACAGCAGTCTCTTCTGCATGAAATAACTACCATCATCATGACTTCAGCAGTGCCTGACTGCTAAACATTATCACAATTGGCTTGTTGTTGGTTGTGCTCCTTCATTAAAGGAGGGACAAAGGAGTCATTGGACTCTCACCAGAGTATCCAGCCACTCTTCCCAGCCAACTGTATGTAATTTGGCCCTAATCACAGATGGTCTCCTAGATTTGGAGAGGACTAAAGTATACAATCTGGGGAAGGCTAGGAAGAGAAGGCTTGACCAATGCTGCGTAAAGGCTTTCCAGAGTGCATACCCTCAGGTCATTCAAACACCTCAGCAACCCCTCAGTTATCTCAGTAAGTAACCTCAGTAAACTCATTGGTTCCCCAGTAAAACTTTAATCAAACATTGGCTTGACACTAGAACCTTAAAAGGGAATAAGCATTGCTTAGTATCCCAAGGAAAAGAATTCTCACAACAGATGGAAAATTTATTTGTTAATGTTATTATGTCTAGTAATTATTAAAAAAGAAAATGAGAATTAAAAGATGTTAAAAGGATATGGGATGGAGATATTTTCCAAAATAGAAAAAAATGAGAAAGCCTAAGCAAGTGATGAAGGTCTGTGTAGGTTTGGTATGCTATATAAAGGATGAGACAAAAATAGTATACACATTGCCGATCTTTGAAATTTCTAAGGCCATAGTTTAGTCAACTAGTTTAAGGAACAAAATATATATCTAGTCAAGGTTTATTTGAGAACATTTGTTTTTTTTTCACCCAAGCTTTATGTACATAGCACATGGTAATTAAAAGTACCAGACTGGTGGAGCTAACTTTCTTGGATGTTTAGCAGCCATAGTTTGAGGTCTATATTAATCTGGTCAGAGGGGTTTAAATGACAGTTTTTGCTCCTTGCCCTCCAAGATTGACTAAGTTCCAGGGGACTATGGAACATCTCTCAAAATGTCCTGTTTAACTATGGTGAGTCACCTGTTCTCTTGTTCAAGGAGGTCATGGAGGCCCCAGGAGATAGAGCTGAACCACTGTCCAGTCTACAAAGAGGAGGGTCAACTCAGAGGAATCGTTTCCTCCATCCTTCCAAGTGAAGACAGACATGGTTGAGCAGGACATTTGCCTTATCTTCACATAGATGGAACTGGTAGAAGAAAGGAGGCAAGGGCTCCTCCCAAGCCCGTGTGACCCCTGAGGAACAGATCCTCAAACGATTTAAGTGAAAATATAAAGGATGATTTATTTGGGCCACTGTATGGTCTTAAATACCCAAAGGGAAAGTGTAACCAAAGAGTAAAGTGATCAGTATATTTCTTTAAGAGTTCAAAGGATTAC